GCCCACCGCCCCGGCCCCACCTGCGCCCGGCCGCTCGCTGCCCCAGGCCGGGCGCGGCCCCTGCTGCCCGCGCTCCCGGGTGCTCGCTCTCCGGCTCCGGCGGGGTGCGCGGAGATCCGAGCGGGGCTGAGGCTGCAAGTGGGGGTGACAGGCTGGCGGGTGTTGTGGTGCGGAGGAGGCAGCACGTGTGGTGTTGTGTCTGTCGGGCTGTCAGCCTCTGCGCTGGGAGGGGAGGCGGCGGGCTGCCTGTCAACCTTCGGCCGGTTTGGACGGGAGCTGCCGGACCTGTCAGGCTTCTTGGGCAGCCTGCGTGCCCCAAACGCCTCCTTTGAACCGGCCTCTGTGGGGCTTAGGATTTGGAGGAACCGGGAATGGGAGATACATTGCTCTTAACTCTTTCACGTGATTTCATTGTTAACTTAGTCTTTGGGTTCTGTTTCCATCTGATGGGTACGGCGAAGCTACCCGTTGGCAAGCTGCAGGGTTGTGCAGTTTGAAGTTTTTAAAGTTTCTCGCTCTTTAAAAAGAGAGCGCGAAGATGTGTTTGGGGGTGGGGAATCCAGGCCGGGGAAGGACTGTCGGAAGCAAGGAGTAGTTTTTCTCTAGCCGCTGGTGTACTTTCAGGGAGTTAAAGTTCAAGTCTGCAGGCGCTTTACTGTCTGAAGACCTGGAGACTGGTGAAAACCCTGGCCTGAGAGACAATGACTAGCTGTCATTCATTCTTTCACCTGCGAGCATAATCAATTAGGACGTTCCCGGCTTCTTAAACTCAGATTGTAGCTTCTCCTTCAGTTTAGCGTTAATGCCTACGTAATGAACGTTCTTGGAGTAATAATACTATGATTTCTATCCTCTCGAGACTCTCACCAGAATGAAGCATAGCTCTCTCAGGGGGCTTCTTTTTAGCCAGCTAATTTAAAAATAAATCTTGGCTCAAGTTTGAGTGTTTACTTCAGCCTTTTTCTTTCCTATCAGAGTTTATAGCACTGTAGCTTTTCTAATATCTGTTAGTTTTGCTTTTGGTTTTAATATTAATTTTAAGAATAATTGCTGCGGGAGCCATTTTTCATATAATTTTTTAGATTGTAATGTAAATGCTTCTCAGAATAAGAGCAGGCGTCCTAAAAATCACCTAAGTTACATTTATTTTTGGAAGCAAAGAAGTTAATTGGTTTCAGAATTCGTTGTTTTGGTGATTTTTAAAAAGATCTGTATCTGCCAGATTCTTTTGTCTGAAAGAAGAATATTGACTTTGATCCTGGAGAGGCAATGTATTTATGTGTTTGTGTTTTACTCTTTCACGTTCATTTCAGGACAGAAATCTTGAATCTATGAGATCTCTTTAGACCTGCCGACAGGCAATATTGTGCATTTGACATGTAGTGTGTGCATTTGAACCCTGTGATTCTGGGCCTTTCTCATTTCTAGTTGCTATATCTGTAACTCGGTTATGAACATTTTGACAGTTATTCCTGCCGTTATATTGAATACTAGTGTTTTAGTTTGGTTTAGAAGCTATCAGCATGTTATTCTTGAAATTTGAATGAAATTGGATTATTTTAAAATTCTTTAAGCACTTCTGACACTTGATGATTTTCAATATTTTTGTTTCCATTTGCAGTGTTTACTTAAAATATGAACTTGATCTGTGTAAATAGTATTTTTTTAATATAAAATAGTTAAAATTTTCTCAACGGTTTTCTTCCTTATTTTATTGACTGTTTTTATGCAGTCTGAATGTCTGGAATTTTGAAAGATGAAAGATTCACTCTTACTTTCATTGCAGGATTCTTTCTACTAATCCAGATACTTGTTGAAGTGCTGAATAGTTTCTTGGGGAAAGATGACAAGGAAGAGTTTGAATTCATAGACTGGTGAGCAGAGATTGTGGAGTACAGAATAGTCAGCACCCCTCTGGTTAGTTGTAGCCTAAGGTCATTCATAGTATATCTCATCTTGTATACCTGTTGTATCCTAATTATTCATCTTTTTTTCATTTTTATTCCAATCCTTTACATACATACATGATTGTTTCAGAATGTTGATAGAAACTTGTTAAAACTCTACAGGTGCTCAATAAACATTTGCTATTTGATTGTTTTTAAAGATTAGGATGTTTCATTTATAGCTTATTTACAAAGTGGGATTTGATAGGAAACTGATCTTGTTTTAATTGTTTTTCAGGCATAAGATGCACATTTTTCTGCTGGGAATGGGATGTTCTTGAGTTCTTACAAGTTCATGAAGAGACCCATGTGTGGTGCTATTGAGAAATTTATTGGGAAATTTAAAGACATTTCAAATAACAGGTTGTTTTGGTTTCTGAAGTAAAAGTGAGGAGGCACTCTGTTTTGTGCAAGGAGGAAGGACTCAGGCCAGAAAACTTGTATGCTATGGTTAACTGGTTCCCAGCTTCCGAGAATGTTGTTTTCCATGGTATAAAACTTACTCAGCATCAGGATAAGGGATAACGACTCTATGGATATACAGAATCCTTCACCATGGTAAAACTCGCTAACCCGCTGTATACGGAGTGGATTTTGGAGGCCATCAAAAAAGTGAAGAAGCAAAAACAGCGTCCTTCAGAAGAAAGGATATGCAATGCAGTGTCTTCATCCCATGGCTTGGATCGTAAAACTGTTTTAGAACAATTGGAGTTGAGTGTTAAGGATGGAACAATTTTAAAAGTCTCAAATAAAGGACTCAATTCCTATAAAGATCCTGATAATCCTGGGCGAATAGCACTTCCTAAACCCCGAAACCATGGAAAATTGGATAATAAACAAAACGTAGATTGGAATAAACTGATCAAGCGGGCAGTTGAGGGCTTGGCAGAGTCCAGTGGCTCAACTTTGAAAAGCATTGAACGTTTTTTGAAAGGTCAGAAGGATGTGTCTGCATTATTTGGAGGCAGCGCTGCCTCTGGCTTTCACCAGCAGTTACGATTGGCTATTAAACGAGCCGTTGGCCACGGCAGACTCCTTAAAGATGGACCTCTTTATCGGCTCAACACTAAAGCAACCAGTGTGGATGGGAAAGAGAGTTGTGAGTCTCTTTCCTCTTTACCTCCAGTGTCACTCCTTCCACATGAAAAGGATAAGGTAAGAGTGGTATACGCATCAGTGTTCATAGAGCTGAAGATATAGCATGCTACAAAGTCATGTTTCTAGGAAGTATGTAGAAGTTATGTTCAAGTTTTGTGTTTGGGGACTTAGGGAATGATCATCTTTGGTTTTTTATTGGTAAGTTGTTGGAATTCAGTAGATACCAGTTGCCCTGATACTTTGAAATATTTGACACTTGACATTCAGAGTGTATTGATGTACCGAAAAGAACAGATTTAGATTAGAGTTTAAAAGTAGCATTCAACTTTAAGGCTGTTATAAGTTCTTAGAATATGTTACTGCTGGAAGTTGATGAGCACTCCTAAATGTTCGAGGCTTGGATTTGAAACAGGCAGGTGACTCTAAGAACCTTTTTCCTTTTTTTCTTTTTTCTTGCACATTACCATTAGGAAGGAGTGAGACTGAGTCTCCTGACCCATCCGTAGTTGTAGCTAAGCAAATTTATCAATTCTTATTTTTGTCGTATTCTAACTTTTTGTCATGTATTCTTTGCATATGATGAAGTCCTAAGTGTTATTTATGAGCGGTGTAACTACATGGGTCAGGAAAAAGTATTCTGTATTCCTAAAGTTCTGTGGAGTTGGGAGTTTTGGTACACAGTGGTAATGTGCTGTGTTTTATGCTGTTATTTTGTGCAGTTAAAAAAGTATGCTAAGAAACAGCAAATTTTGGCCTTTCAATAGATATTAGGAGATGAAGAGAATTTTGTCAGTAGCAGTTTTTTACATTGACCTAGTGTCTTAGCTGTGAATTTATTTCAAGTGTTCTGAATTGTAGTTGTGGGGAGAGTGGTAGTACTTAATGCACATTTTAGTATACAATAGTAAAATAATCTTTATTTTGCCTAAGATCATGGAAGCTACTTCTAGGATGAGAAGATTGTAAAGTTAACACTGCATGTGTTTAAAAATACTTGAGGTTCAGTCTAAATTTATTGCAGTTAGTAACCCAGCTATAGATTTTTGTTTAAATAGCAACTGAAAAATAACAGTATTTTTCTTCGATGAAGTTTTAGAGATCTATTTTAAGGTTCAATTTTCCCAGTGAACTTTGAAATAGAAACATTATCTTAACCATTATTACTCTTGAAATTATTCTGTTAGAATGGTTGTGTGTCATTTGAGCATTTTATTTAAAAGTGTGGTATTAAAATTTCAAGGTGGACAAATAACTGAAATGCTTTACATTGTAGTCCAGTGCTGTAAGAACTCTTACTGTAAGAGCTGTTTCTTGATCACATATGGCTGAAGTTAAGTGAAATATAATGATTGATTCCAAAAATTGTTACCAAATGATTTACAGGTTAACTGCATGGAAACAGGAAACAATTTATAGTTTAGAATGAATTCAGTGTTATATCAGTGAATTAGGTATTATAAATTTTTTGCCAGAACACCTGGGTGCTTGCTTTTACTATAATTTCCCTTGCTTGAATTAGATATCTTAATTTTTGAAAATATTAGCCATATATAAATTATCAGTTGTGTATGTATTTTTAAAAGGTAGCCAGTATAGTACACTATGGGACAAATCTAAGTTTTGTCACCCTGGGATTTTACTTTTGAAAGGGGACCTTGAGAACCATCTTATTTTGCAGTTGGGCTGAGACCTCTATATTAAAAAAAAAAAAAAAAAAAAAAAAAAAAAAAAAAAAAAAAAAAAGCTTAATCCAGTAGAGATTTGTTGGTTGACTTTAGTTAGAAATATCTTTTAGGTTACATAACTGTAATATATAGTGTTGTTAACCGAAGTAACTAAATTTGGAGTATACATTTAAGAATGTATTTTGAGTTTTGTTGAATAGACTTCTATATATGTGTATGGGTCTGAATTAAAAACTAATTTTATGATATCTATGGAGTTAGAGTTGATGAGATCTGCTATATATTTTTAAATAGTCTTATTTTAAGTAGTGAATTTCCTGAGTGACTTCCCCCAAAGATAAGAAAAGCTCACATTCAAAATCATAATATGGTGAGGAATTACTCCTCTGAACAGATTATATGTTTGTTCTTTTTATTGTATTTTATGTACTTTCCTTTCTCTTTTAAAAATTGATTGGTTTGCTGTTATGAACCTAGATATTCTCAAAAAAATTATACAGAGTGTATTTGACAGTGATGGAGAAAGGAAAAGATAGGCCAGAAGTACTTTCACATTTAGGCCTTAATTAATTCAGCAAATGGTTATTGAGTGAGTACCTATTGTGGGCCAGGCACTCTGTAACTGAATTGGCATTATCTCAAGTTCCTCTTTATTTTTTTCTGTATCAATTTTTAACTTTTATTGCTTGGAGATACCAGCCTTTGGAAGGAACCGTAGAACTGTATGTTAGATTTTCAGCAACTGAGTAGTGTTTGCTGCTTTTTGTGGGATCAGCTGTGTAGAAATAGTTTTTTTTTTTTTTTTTAAGAGTTTTTGTGAACACACTTGAACTTAAGTGTGTTTTCACACTGATAAATAGGAAAATCCATGGGATACTATGATCTAAAAGTTAAATCTATGTTGTAAGGGAAATTTCTGAGCTAGCTTTAGGGTTGTGGTAGTTTATGGTAAGTGTATTTAACTTGATGTGTTTACTACATGCCACGCATTGCTTTAAAGCTATACATCTATTAACTCATTTAATTCTCATACATATCCATGAAGTAGGTACTGTTATGTTACAAGTGAAGAAACTGAGGCATAAAAGAGGTTTACTAATTTCTCTAAGTCGCAGAGATATTAAGTGGCAAAGCCGGGATTTGAACTTGGGCAGTCTGGCTCCAATCTTTGTAACAGCTTTAGCTACCTGCTGCCTCTTGGGAGTTGTTACATACAGTGCCTGACACTGCACTCAGGTACACAGTTGTGAATATTTTTGGTGTTAATTCCATAGCACATTCTCTAATTATGAAAGGCCATATGTCCTTCTACCCCCTACCCCTTCTTGGTTTGTGTCCCTTTTTTCTCTTTCTATCATAGAATGAATTCTAAAACTGACTTTGAATCAGTGATAAGAATGTATCAGAAACCAAAGATTATGAAAAATCTAGTTTTGTGTGCCTGCGATCTATAAAAAAATAATTTTGTTTACATGACATTTTATTTCTCTTAAAGATAATTTCTGTGCTTATTAATTTTCATTTTATTTATCACTGAAATTTTCTGATTTGCACTTTGGGATTTGCTGCATGGTTGTAAGTAGAGTGCTTTCATTTTGGACCAAATGTTGCTTTCCCTTGAATTGTGACATATAGGTGAGAGTGATAGTGTGACACTGGCTTAAATAACAACTTGCTTCTTGAAAATTTATTTGCTTTTGAAAGATTTTACTGTAAGATAATTTGTTCATTTATTTCATTTATTCATATAACAAACATTTAGATGCCTACGGTGAACAATGAATTTAGGATTTTGGTCTTGTTGAGGATTAAGGTAGAGAGATGTGAAATAAATATTTTTGGAATTATTTTTTAGTTTATGAAATACAGCTTTTAGTTTATACATTCTTTTTTTTCATATCAATTAAGCATTGTGAATCTCAGAAATAATGAGATGTTTCTTGGGTGGGGCTGTATTATTTGAGATTGTGATGGTCTATTTAAAAAATTATCTTTAGGGGCGCCTGGGTGGCTCAGTTGGTTAAACATCTGATTCTTGATTTTGGTTCAGGGCATGATCTCATGAGATCGAGTCCCCGAGTCCCCCTGCTTAGGATTCTTTCTCTTTCCCTCTTTTTCTGCCCCTCCACCCCTCTAAAACACTAAACACTAAAAAAAATTATCTTTAGACACTGAGTCTTGGAAGGAACCTTTTCAGGAATAATTTTCACCTTGATATCAAATTTCTGGGTTCATTTTACACACAGAAAAATCTAGCTTATGTTCCTTCTTACTAGTCCAGAAAACTGTACTCTTAATGATAACCACGGCATTGAAATGTTATTTTGTGGAGTAGTATTGTGGAACAGAGTTATAATTTGCGGAAGCATTACAATTGGAAAGGGAAGAGAAAGTATTGTCAACTAATGTTATTGTTTAGTTATTACCAGGGTAGGTAACTTAGAGTAGAAAGATCAAGCGATACATTTAAAACCTTCTAAAATAAGTTACGTAAGTACAGTAAACTCTTAGTATACCGAATCCAAATTATTTTTCTGAGTGGAATTTGACATTTTAAATTTGTAGAATAAATGGGACTTTGACAGGAACTTAGATTTTTGATGTAGGGATGCAAATATGTTTTCATATTTGAAAACACTGAGTTAAGAATAATAAAGCTTTGATTTAGCTATTTGGAAATGGCCTTTATAGTAAGATTGATGCTACATCAACTTTTGGTGACTCTAACTGGACTGTGAGGAAAAGCTGGCTAGAAATAAAAAATAAAAATTTGTTACTAACAATTTATCGAGGTAGATTAAATATAAATGGGGTTAGGAATTGACTTTGTCTCAGCAGACTTGTTCTTATTTAAAAAAAAAAAAAAAAAA